TTTTGTGGGGGGGGGGGGGGGGGGGGCGCGGACACCCATTTTTCTTTGAAATTTTGTTCTATATTTATAGAATTCTCAGAAAAATAAATAGTATCTGTGTAGCTGACAATTAGGCGAGTGTCCTGGCCACCCCTTTCAGAATTTTCTGGATCCAATGCTGTTTTATTTCATCAATAACAGCTTTAAAAAAGAGAGCTCAAATTGTACCCCTGTTTCTCACCAGGTAATTGTATGAACAACTCTTTGTCATTGCTACTACAAAACCGGTTTAAGCTCCTGACTAGTTGGGTATTCTGATTTGTACCTTGTACTTCGGTATAGGTGCATGTGGCATGAAACCAGAGAAACGTATTGTCGGAGGCACACAGGCTCGTCCTGGTGACTGGCCATGGCAGGCCATGCTACGAAGTCCCCGCGGTTGGAGTTTCTGCGGAGGGACCCTAATAGCGCCTCAATGGGTCCTTACTGCCTCTCAGTGTTTATGGAGAAAGAGACCCCAGGATCTTCGGGTTCGGTATGTTAGATCAGACCCTGTGAACACAATAATGCTTTGACGAAAACCTCTGTTTTCGTGTTAACAAAAACACTACAAAAGCTCTGCGTTTACTCATAACCGTTTTCGCATTCTATTTGTCCCTCCACACTTAGCAGTCAAAAAAGCATTTTGGGCGATATATGTTCGTCCCTAGGCTTTTTTTGGACGTGTTTCTCAGTGCGTCAGTGTGCCTATTCGAGTAGCCAGGCAATCTGCGTTTTCGAGCACCTTTAATTCGTTTTACCTGTCCATACCAAAAGGATCGTCGCCAGTTTTTAATACCCTTTTCAAAATCCTCCGTTTTTTTTTTTTTTTGTTTTAGTGCGGACGCTAAATAAACGCATAGAATCTATGCCTTTTTCAAAAGAAACAACAGTGTTAATAAGGTCTGAAATCATGACTCATGTTGCCTCATTTGCTATGGCGCATTTCTAAAGGCTTGGGCTCCAATATCATTCCCAGAGGCCGCGTTTCCCTTGACCATAGGATGGGGGGATATTGCTTGAGTTTTCTTCATACCACGCGAGTTGAAAACCGATTTTTTGGGGACTTTACATGGTAGCGCCGTCGAAGGGAGAAATTTTCGAGGACGCGCGCGCACGAGGTGTTCCCCTGGCGCGCTCTATATAAACTAACCAAAACAAAAACAAACAAAAAAAAGAACTGGTGCCTGCTTTGCAGGCTCGACTTCACGCTAAAATTGGTCTTTTTATGGGTAAAGAATAACTGCTGGTGTGTTCTTTGAAGGCCTATGCCCACCCTCCAGACTTCACAAGAGTCTAAGTAAACTTAAGCAGAACTTAAATAATGACTGGAACTGAATAAAGGAACCACGGGCAAAAAGTGCAGAGCTCATGAATTCCTATACGTCTAGGTTATGCAAAGCATATCCAGCCAAATTGAGCCAAAGAAGGAGTTTCTCAAATTTCTTTCATGTTTATTATGCAGTATGGGAGCCACTACAGAAAAGGAAACGATCCAACAACACAGCAAGACTTCGAGATTGAACGCATCATAATGCACGAACACTACAAGAGACCATTTGGCATGAGCAATGACATCGCTTTGCTAAAACTTAGCACACCAGCTAAGCTTAACAAACGCGTGGGCCTGGCGTGTCTACCAGATAAATCCGTGGATCTGCCAATTAACGACATAAACAAGAAATGCTGGATAACCGGTATGAAATGTTTTTTCAACCCCGTGCAACGTGATGTTTCTGGATATCTAATAAAAAACTCCCCGTTTGGCATCATTTCTCCCTCGAGATTTGCTGAACAAAGGAACGCCATATTGCTTTGTTTAGAATAATAGGTAACGCATGAGTACTCCCAGATTGTCTAGGCCTCTCCCGATACATTAGCCTGCGTAGCATGGCGGTTTTGGTTGGGCGCGCTAAGCAATAAAGGCAGGCGAGGGCAGAGAAACCGCGAGGAGATTGGGGCGGAAGCAACTTGAAAAGTTGAAGGGGGCGGCAGTTGAAAAGGCCACGAATCCGGGCAGGCGGTTTTTATTTTTCTCGCGGCTTCGCCGCTCCTGCGCCCGGCTCGACAAAACCGCCATGCTACGCAGGCTACCGATACGTCACCAAATGCATTGGCCGAAAAGGCCTGAAAAGGCGCCGTACAGGGACTAGGCAACCTGGAGATCATCTTATTTGAGAGTTCTCGTCACAGACTCGACACAACGTTACATCACGAAATCAAACATCTCACAGTTCGTCGAGAATACTCCACTGAGCGCATCCTCAGCTATCAGAGACCCGAGGACAATAGAATGCCCATGGGATGTCTACAGGCGAAATCACCGCAAATTTTATAAGAAGAACGGGAGATCATCCATGTACTTAAATGTTACTGATCCAGTTCCAGAAACATTGGAACTGCTTCAAAGTGGCTGTCCAGTACTTTTTGTAAACATTGCCGGGGGTGAATACGCACTTAAACATTTCGTCCCACTTAGCTCGTGACTTAGCTGACCTTGCGTCTCGGAGATGCATAATACATCGTATTTTCAACTTTCTTCTTGACAATATGTGTGAAGCTTTGCGTCTCGTGTTTGATTAGTTACACATGAAGTTGACGCTTAGCAACTGTCTTTTGCTGAAGAAATAGCGGGTACTCTATCCGAAACATACATTTCTCCAAGAAACCACGAGTTCCTTCTATGAACACAGCCATGACATTTTTGTGGTAACTTTTTTTCGATTTTTCGAAAGTCAGTTGTTATTCTGTAGAATACTGAGAAGCAAACGGTACCATGCAAACTTAACTATAAAGATCTTTCAATTAAACGCAAAAAGCACAGGATTTGCCAATTATTGTGGGAATGAAATGGTAAAAGTAGACTTTTCGCAATACCAAAATGAGACAATTTTGATTATATTTGGCCTAGCACATTGTTTGCAAATCTTGAACTCTACCCAAGGCTAAACGTCCTTTGCTTAGTATAAACTGTACTGTACATTTCAAGGTTGGGGAACACTGGCCTCGGGAGGCTCTTCAGCCACGGAACTCATGCAAGCCAAAGTACCGCTGGTATCCAAAGAGCGCTGTCTCAAAAGCTATCCCCGAAGAATCCATGATTCCATGCTGTGCGCAGGTCACGACGAGGGAGGAGTAGACACATGTCAGGGTGACAGTGGGGGTCCCCTGGTGTGTAAGTATGGAGGCAAATGGCATGTTGAAGGAGCCACAAGCTGGGGATACAGATGCGCTGCAAAAGGATACTTTGGTGTCTATGCAAACGTCAGATATCTGCTAGACTGGATCAATGAAAATATGGCCAAATACTAACAAGTGCTATAGGCAACTAGATGATCATCTCTTGCTGTAATGTGATTTAAGCATGAATGATAAAACAATGCTTAATCAATAAGTTCAGTCTGTTTTATTGGAAATAACACAGGGGAACGCTTCCAGTTAGTGGGGCAGGAATGCGTGACAAACCCTTAAGAACGTTTGCGTGAGAGGCTAGCTTCCAATAATCCCTCTTCCGTCCCAGTGGGCGCGATATTTACGGGTAATTTAGCCAAACGATGTAGCCGCTGTTAAGAGCCTTCGTTCACTGACCGTCTGTATCACACCATATAAGTATCAATATTGTGTCCTTTTTTTTCTTTCTCTTTTTATAAAAGCCCTTTCCTCTCATCTGACATCTGCAACTTGGCAAGTAATCGAGTCAGTCATTTCACTTTCATAGTCTTTCAAAGCGTTCGCCGCGCACTCTTCTACTTCACTGTGTCCGACACCTTTGGATAACTCCCGTAATTGATCCTACAGTAAATTAAAAGTAGAAGAGTGTGAATGGTTTGAGCCTAAAAGTCATATTATAAGAAGGTGAAATGTGATCAGGCGAGTGTAGTTCTGCACAGGATTGTTGTTGATAATGACTGATGTTTCGACAACCTCTGCGGTAGTCATTTAGATGAAAGATTGTGAAGATGACTCGAGGTGATGGATAGCCTATTCCAGGTATTCAGATAGTAGAGCGCGGCGGTCAAATGGCGGGGAGCGAGTTAAATTGTGAATTTTCTCCCGCGCTCTACTATCTGAACGCCTGGAACAGGCTGTATTCAGTAACGCTTTCAACTTTCCCGCAACAAAACAAGAAACACGAAAGTACAACCTGAAGTCAGGTTAAAAGATAAGAACTGTGAGTCCAAGACATAACTGCTTAGAGAAAATCTAACAATAAAGAACCACCGCCAACACCATCACATCATAAACAACACTCAAGAATAACAACTAAAAAGTGGATAACTCAAAAAATAGTAAGGTGCAGTATTCGTCACACATTTACAATCTGTCACTCAACATGGCGAGGATATCTTTCTAGGGATTTTATAGTTTATACATTTCGTTCTCTCCAATAAAAAAGACTTCGCTACATTCGAGGTAGACTTTGAAGATCACAAGAAGAAAAACTAAGAAGCCATGGCAAAAGCTAAAGCTTAAGACACTTCTAGAACACGAAAAACACTCAAACTCAAAGTAGTGTAGTCGTGACGTTAAAACAAAAACGCGGCCTATTTTTCCTGACACTTGAAATAATTACAGTTTTAATTTATTCAGCAAACTGTGTCAACGTTGAAAAAACGAAAATGGGCAACGCTCGAACGCTGAACCTGCCTTCCTTTAAATTTTGTTCGGTAAATTATGTCCGCGGTTAGAGTGAAGAAAATTATTGAACAGGGCTGATATACAGATTCTACATACGGAACGTCTACGGCGATTTTTTTGGAAAGGCTGAAATTTAAACGAACAACCAAGTTAAGTTCCTTAATTGTACCGTTAAAGGGGAACGTATGAGGATTTTTTCCAGTAGGTGGACACTGTTTCTTTGCTTGCTTTTTTTGTCATTAGCATACCTTGAATGGTTTTCCACAACACCTCACAAGGAGAAGGAAGCACTCCGCAGTTTTTTCTTTCAATTGCTGATAAGCTAAAATGGGAAGTCGAAAAATACACTGACAAATAAACATCTGGAACTTTAAACGAGCTTGGGGGGTTCAGATGTAGTTACCTTGCAAGCACTGAGTGGTTTCTCTCGTGCATGGCCCTCGCGTTTATGAAGTCATTTGCGTCGCATGTCACTCGCCGTAGTTAGTTTGTTTATCACACCACATACGCGACTTTGTGACATGCAAGCCGAACAACAACCGTCACCTGGTTAGCTCAGTTGGGAGAGTCCCAGTCTACTAAACGGGAGGTCGCGGGTTCAAACCCCGGCCGGACCAACACTCAGGGTCTTCAAATACCTGAGGGGAAAGTGCTGCCTTTGCAATGACATGTGCAAACTATTAGAATTTCTAGTCTTCTCGGATAAGGACGAAAAACCGTAGTTCTAGTTCTTGCGGGACGTAAAAGAACCCACACCACTGTTCGAACAGAGTAGGGGACGTAGAACCCTGTGGTGTGGCCAACCTCTCCTGGGCTGGGTGGGTTATCTGCAAGGAGCCTTACTCTGCTGTGTGTTCCGCACCATATGGTGGAAGTGATTAAATAAATAGTCTTCTTAAACGCTAAAAGCCATACAGGAGAAGGATCTGCTCGCAGGGTAAGATATACAGTCAACTCTCCGGTAAGCGACCACCCTTGGTGTACGACAAAGTGGTCGCTTACAGGAGGTGGTCCCCTGCGGGAGAAATCAAGAAAATAGGCTGACACTGAACTGATTAATGTGCTTACATAAAGTTATTACCTAACAAGCAAAACATTCGGCGAGAAACAAGGAACTGGCAATAATGTTTCACATCGAAGAGCGCTTGGAACTGTTGAAACTTTGTACATAACATTTTGCATCAATGTAACAATACACCTTTTAACCTACAGATCGTATTACAACCATCTTTTTTTGTAAGTCAGATGCTATAATCTGTTGCCATGCTTGGTCAACGCTTTTAAAAACTGAACTTTTGTAACATTCGAGCAGTGGTTTTCTTTCAATCATACGTGATCATGCCGGCTGGTCGCTTACGGGAAACAGAAAACAAAAGAATATCCCAAATTTTTGCTTTAAAAAGTGGTCGCGGTCATTAAGAAATTTATTTAGTGGCTTCTCACGAGAACGTTTTGAAACAGTATTTGACTCAGAAACAAAACGGTTATTTTCAAAGTGGTCGCTTACAGTAAGTGGTCGCTAAAACAGAGCTTTTACTTGTACATTAAAACTTTTTGCCTGCGTTTCGCCCTAAAAAGTAAGATAAAAACGCGGCGTAACTTGCAGTGGTCCTCGATGCTTCTCCTACGTCTAATCGTATACTGGGCAAAAATCGGCGAAGTCGCCATGATCCATAGCTATTGGCGAAACGATGCCCAAATTTAAAATGACGATTTGCAAATGATCAGAATTCATTACATTCAAACAACGTATTGATCAGTTTTTTCAGTATTTTAAAAACGTTTACTTAATATTCTGACCCACCAATTCAAACGTCTGTAAAATTTCTCGAACTTTGAGGAGCTAAAAAAACCGTGGAAAGGTCTGTTCGTGAATATTAAATCAGATCATTCAACCAAAATAAGGTGCACAGGAGAAAATGAAAGTATACAACCAAAATTTTCCACCTTCGATTCTTGGTAGATGTCCTGGTAAATAAACAGCGTATAAAGTAATAAGCTTACCTTGGGTTGTTAAATAAGGAGCTGAATCTGTCGCATCAACAAGTAACTTAAGAAGCGATTTCAGGATCATGGAGCTGTGTTGAGGAATCCTACAAAGAAAACAGCACCTTAGTAATCAGCCAAGTTTGCAATTACGTGCACGTTTCAGTAACCATGCGTTGTAAGACACGAAAATGCCCTTTACTAATAAATTGTGTCAAAAACAAAATACAAAACTTAGTAAAACAAAAGTTTACAGTTCAATTTGTTGTAAACGTCCGGAAATGTATCGTAAATCTAAATCATTAATGTCCGACAAGAAAACATACCTAAACAGAATCATTGGACCAGTCAATTTAATTCATTGTTGATTTGAGGCTTATGTTGGGCAACACGGCATAGGTATATATTTCATTAGTAAAATCCAACTAGTGGTCTATTATCAATGCTGCGCTCTGGTTGGTTGAGCTGCTACTAGGCTCGAAAAGCGACGGCTCTTCGGCGGCAAAAAAGGATTAAAGTCTAGCTTTAACTAGCTAAATTTTTTTAATTTTCGATATTTTTGACCATTTAGTAGGATTTTACTAAAACAATTATTCCTCTCGCCCTCATGGCCTCTGAGTCAATAGCCCATGAGGCCGAAGGCCGAATGGGCTATTGACTCAGAGCCAATTTGGCAGTGGTTTTGCCCAAAATTTTAAACAAATCGTCTGCATGAGAGAATCACACTCGGCATTTCAAACTTGGCAGCGCCAAAGCATGTTAGAGAGAAAACGTCTGACTTCCGGTTGAGGTGCGTCGCCCAAAAACGCCTTTGCTTTCCATTGCTTAAGCTCAGTATGGCCTAGTATCAGTCCCAGAAGTCTTTGCGAAAGTAAACTCGGCCCAGTTTCCTTGCCGTTGTTAAAGTGGCGAATTGTGAGTGAAAAGGTAAAGATGTCAAACGTCATACCTTGGCCATGCGTAAAGTATTGCGGTGTTTAAAGCGTCTAAAATGGCTAGCCTGGCTTCTTCGTCGGGATAATCGCTTACTTCCAAGTACGATACGATAACTCTTAAAAGTCGCTAAAAAAAAAGAAACGAAAAGAAACAACTATTACATCTACGTTCGTAAAACCATTATTCTTTTACGTCTAACCTTTCTCTCCACTCCAACACGAATAGGTTCGTGACAAATATCTGTCAACTGCTTCCCGTTACGTTTTCTCGCGCAGCACTTATAACGGCAAATCTGTCTGTATTTTCACCCGAAATGTTTTCTTCTTTCTACTTTCCAGACAGATTTTTAACAGTTTTGATTGTTTAGCTCTACTATTAAGGGAAAACTGGAGGCGACATGTACTTTTGGCAACATTAAAAACTCTAAAGCAAGTAGGGTGGATGCAAATTGCAGCATGATGGCGTCGCGGCAAGTTGCAAGTTATGTCACACGCATTATTCCGCTTGAGGCCTTTATCAAATTTTTCCTTTAACTCAGATTTCAAATTGGAATTTTTGATAGCGTAACCATTCTAAATCAAACCCTTAACCTGTTTGAGCCTGGAGAAAGTTGCATAAATCTTCACGTTATTTAAAATAACAGCTAACGCACTCGTCCAGTCAGTCTTTATTCTAATGCCACATGTTAGCGGTTAAGCGTGTCGTTAGGTTTTATTGGCCCCTTAAGACTTAATGATCCTCAAATGATTGATTAAAAAACAGCTCTACCTTAAAGTGACGCAGTATGGTTATTCCCATGTGCTCAATATAATCTCTCAATTGACTTGCACACGCCTGGTGGAAACAAAGGAGCAGAAGCAGCACACTAGTCAAACCTTTCCACTTGATTAGTCGTAAATGTTACAAGGCTCTAGTCAGTACAGTTTGAGAAATATGCCTGGGAGCGAGCGATGACAGTTCAATTTATGGGGTGAGAAAGATCAATCCTTGTGTAAATACGACACTAAAACTAGGTTCTCACTATACCAGGTAGCTTTTGCGCATGCACGAAAACCATATCGGATAGGGCTACTGTTCACACATAGGAACGGTGATTTTGGCGCGATTTCTGTGACGGAGCGAAACACCGCGCCGATTGATCTCTAAAGTGGAGAGTTCGCATATCGGATAGGTGATCATACTATACCGGATATCTTTTCGCTAACCAGTGAAGTGCGAACACAGCCAACGGCCTGCAACAACGCTTTCGAATCGAAACCCACCAAGCATGAGTGAAGTTCCTCATGTACCAATCCGAGAAAACGGGGTGCTACTAATAGGTCTCGCTCGGTAAAGCGATACCAACACCTGCAGTGGCGGATCCAGGGAAGGCCTTTTTTTTTAGACCAAACTGAGGGTCCTAAGGGCCGGAAAAAGTTTTTTTGAGACCCGGCACCCCCTTATCTCAGGGTCTGGATGACCGCCCCCCCCCCCTCCCCCTTCCCCCATTATCTAATGGTCTGGATCCGCCACTGACCAGATGAAAACCTGCAGTACGCGGTCGAAACATCGCGATGGAAGCGATGGAAAACAAAGGGCCCATCGAAAAACAAATGATAAACGAGCTTGTAAATCCTAAAAAGAACTGGAACTGGCCTGCTCGGTCGCACTCTAAGTAATATCATTGTACACGAGTTGAAGGTCGATGATAAGAAAATTAATTCCTTAGTAAAATAGCTAGAGCTTTTAATACGTAGCTTTTCCAACATTGGTCCTACTTTGACGTAATGTTTAATTGGTGAGTAGACTAAAAATTGAGGATCGATTGAGCGACCATTACCACCACGAAGACTGCATGAAAAGTATTTTGACTAAAATAGGCGTCTCGCTTACCCGCCTCATCGCTATCTTGCTTTCAAACTCCATAGATGTCAGCATTATTTGAAACACTGAGTCGCATTTGGTTGTCTGTGAGAAGACATAAAAATGGCGCAATGATAAGTGCTTGCAATATAATTTAAACAATGAGTGTCGAGACCAGCTAGTTATTAAAGATGTAAATTTTTGTTCGTTGTGACCTTAGCTGCAAACATTACCTAAGAATAATATGTTTAAAATGAAAAAGCATTGTAACTTCGGGCCCTCAGAATGCGAAATTTAAAGCAAGGAATCTCCCAGTTATGCCATAGAGTTCGATTCATGTTTACGGCAAGCGGCAAACGAGAATTTGTACCACGTGACCAAGCTTTCCCTTTACTTGTCGTTAACGTTTGTTTAGTTCGACAAACAAAATTATTAGTTTCACATTACTTTCATCCAAAAAAATTGATTTTGGCTCATCCTCGGTGTAAAAACCCCAGTGAAGCTCACGAGTGACGTAAAAGAATGAATACAAAGCAGCCACTGAGAAGTCAACACAATAGAGCCAAGGAAAAAAATAGCTAGAAAACAAAGAAAACTCCACAGGTTTTTACTCCTAGGGAAACCCTGTTTTCGACTGTTTTTATCAGCTTAATTTCTTTTTTGAGAAATTCTCATCTTAAATTTGCCGTTTATCGTTTGCCGAAGTAACGAAGCTGCCAACTGACCTTCGCCGGTTAACGACTCTCTGATCTCTCTTGAGTGATTTAAGACGGTCAAAATTTGTGGGTAGTACTGACTCTCCTAGCAGAAGGAAACCCCAGTACAATCTGAGCAAGGGTGGGTGGGGGGGCTAAATTATCACGGGCAGCCTCCGTACTTTAAGTCATAGATACGAGGCTGAGCCCACAGATTTTTGAAGTAAACAAGCCATATTACCCATTAGATGTAAATTAACCACCCAAATAGTGGCAGTGTTATTGGTAATAATAGTAGTAACATTAAAATTAATCCAGCCTACTTTTCTTCCAAACCTGGGTTTCGTTGGAGGTGGTTCCAGCACCTTGAGGATGCTTAATAAGCAAGGGTGAAGAACTCGAACCAGGCAGGCCTCGCTAGTGTACAGGTGACGCTGAGTGGCCTAGTAAAATGCGATAACAATACTTAAGGCCGTCTCAATTTAAAGAACGGTCTTTAAATGCTCTACAGTTAAAACGTGACTGGTAGAACATTTTTCTGTGAAGGAATACTAACTGTCCCCGAGTTTATTCTTAGCGGTAAGATGTTTTTATACGTTTATACTACTACATGAGAAATTTCTGCAGTTTGATTGGTTTAGAGCTGGGGTATTTCAGTTTATTTTGAAATACCTACATGTGAAAATTACAAAAATTTTGCGGGTAGTAGTATAAACAAATAATAGTATGATTTGTACGTGAATTTTGGCATAAATACCACTCGGGATATTTCAAAATTGTCTCAAATTTCACTCTCCTAACGGCTCGTGAAATTACATATAACAATTTCGAAATATCACTACAAATCATGCTATTACCTATACAAATTTTAGTTAGCATGTAATTTTACTAAATCTAAATTAGTTTCTGTGTACTGCAGAAAGTATGCTTTAAGTTGGTTGTCTGTTTAGGCACTAGCTTTAAAAAAGTGCACTCTACCGACACTGGCCCGGCGTCAATGTTGGTGTGAATGCTTTCATCTTAACATCTTACGTGCAGTTGTGGTAGACGTTTGAAGAAGAAGGGGAAGGATAAAATAGAAGCGCGAGGAGGAAAGCAAACGCCTGCAAGGACGTTATCGTTTTCACCATTCTATCCCTCAAAATTCGCAAATCCGATCCATCTCCCTTCTTTCTATCCACACAGTACTATTCGATCTTTCAGAAAAGATATAGCCACAACGCGAGTCTTTTCGAAACATTTTATCAATTAAAGGCCTTTTTAATTACTTAAATACAACATTTTTCTACCCTTTCATATACCACAACTCGTGAATTCCCAACCTTTTCATATACCTGAAGCTGAAAAAGGTACCACTGTCCCCCTATAAGTCGTTAGAGGGAATACCCCCCTTTAGGAGTCTGCATACAATATAGGAATAGAACTGATTTTCGAGTAAGTGACTACTGCACTTCAAAAATATAATTGCAGCATACTAACTGATTTCTAAAAAAAATTCTAGTGCGTCAGTTTACCTCAAAAAGAACATCAGCCCTTCCATACCACTGCAGTTCCGCTGAATTCTACAATCGAAATTAACGCAAGAATAGTTTCTAATATAATCTGATCCAAAAAAGGTTTTATTTTTTTCAGTCACTTATAAACGATCTACATACCATGTTATCAACGACGTGCTTTAGACATTTTAAACCCAAGACTTTGTTTTCTACCTGTTTGTGAAAGGAAAAAAGGACATTAAAATTGAAAACGCAAAAGCTTCTTATTGCCATGTAACTACCAACTCTCTAAAGCTGTGTCACGAAATTTATCAAAATTCAAACAGTGGGAGTTGCCACCAAATTGAGTGAAACATAAAAATAAACTAAATAACAGCTCGAAAC